CAAGCCTCCCAAGGCCTTCAAAAGGCTTTTCATTTTTCTGGTCTCACATCAGATTTCCCCTCTACAGAGAAGACTTCCTGTCCCATCCACTCGAAAGTAACTTCTCCTCCCAACACTGTCACTTGTCATTTTCTTATTTTATTTTCATTTTATAGCATCTCTCCTGTTAGATTACCTTATTTGCTTACTTAGGCACGTTCTGCTCCTACCCACGAGTGCACATGTTCCATTGAGCTTGGGCACCTCGTTGGCTCGCTCAGCTCTTATCTGCAGGGCCTAGAGCAGCCCTGGGGTACTAGATAATATGTTTTCTCCCTAAAAATGCCTCCTATCCTTTCCCATGTTTCCATTTTACCTTTGCCGATTTCTCTTATTGTCTTAATTCTACCTATCCTTCAATATCCAACTCAAATATTATTTCAATTCCTGAAAATAGTGCTAACTTTGCTGCTTCTCTCCTCCAAATCTTTGTGGGACTCTCCTTAACTTCCTGATACAGCACCTAGGAAATCACCATATATTCTAGTTATCCTTATGTCGTCTTATCCTTTCCACAAAATAGTGAGCTCCTCAAGGCCCAGACTCCTGTTTCATCTATTTTTGCCCCTCTAGCACCTAGGGCAGTGTTTTGCCTTACATGAGGTCAGTACCCAATTCAAGTTTTAGAAAAAAACAAATTGACTGAATTAATAACATATCTATGAATTCCAACCACTAGAAACATACTATGAGAAATGGAAAAGAAACCCAAGCGCCAAGTTCCTTTTCAAACAAATGGGCACTCCTCGGCATTTTCTTGGAAGATTGAGAGTATAAATAATTCCCTTCAGATTTTTCTATCACTGACTTTAGTCACCTTATTTATACTTTTGAGTGCTTAGAAGCCAGGAAGCTTTTGTGTTCTAGTTCCAAAAAAAGAAATTCCTTTTTTTAAAAACATTAGCAAATGACTCATTGAAATGTCATTTAAAAAAATTAAAAAATTAAAAAACTCACAGAGCTGTCTCAGTGGAGGCAGCCAATAGCAACTCACTGAACTAAATCAACTGAGCTATATTGAAGTAGTTACTCAAAGATCTTCATTTTTATCTTGGCACCAGAACAAAAATATGGAACACAGTATCCAGATGGTAAGTAAACAACATTATTGCCATTTTCAAGCAGGAAAAGTATGATTTGCTTTCTATAAAACAAGGGAAATATTGGGGAGGAAGGAAACTTGATAGACAGCTTTGACCTCAAACCATAACCCACATGTTACAGAAAACATAAAATATTGGACCAGTCTCTAACACTGAATTCATCATTTACTAATAACAACTAGACTACAAAATGTGACACCTGGTTGGCTCAGTGGGTAGATTCCGTGACTCTTGATCTTGGGTTGTGAGTTCGAGCCCCATGTTGGCATATAGTTTACTTAAAAATAAAATCTTTGAAAGTGTAAAAATGTTTAAAAATAAATTATAAAGTACTTCATATATGTCAAGGGCCGTTCTAAGCCCTTTACATGTGCCAACTCATTTAATCGGTACAACCTTGTAAGTATTATCACTGTCATTACTATTTTAGTATTATCATCATATGCTACATCGTGAGATAAATATTGTCACATTACCATCATCTCCATTTAGTGGATGAAGAAATGAGGCACAGAAAGATTCAGCCCTTGCCCAAGATCACCTAGCTGGCCAGCACTGGCTCTGGGATGTGAATCTAGCCAAACTGGCTCCAGAGTCCATTCCCCTAATAATTTCACTGTCCTTCCCCTCCAGGTTGTTCTTTTTCCCCAGGATATCCTATTCATGTAAAGAAAGCCAAACTCTTTTGACAGGATAATGGATTTGCTAAATCCATGGAAGAAAGTTCTCTATAGAAAATGTCTTTCCCTTAGATTCCATCAGAACACCCTGGGCAGCAAATCTCAGCACCGTGATTCACTGAGAACATCCCAGAAGCAGGGGAGCAGCACATAGATCTCAGGTCTCCCCCACCACCACCGCCCCCAGTTTTACTCTGACCAACTTTCCAGAAGCTCAGGAAGAGTCTGTGAATATGCACAGAGCCCAGTGATATCATTCTCTTCTGTAGGGCCTTTTTCCAGAAGGGAGAGCAAACTGAAGCCTAATAAGAAGGATTTTTGGAGAAAAAATATAATACTGTGTCTTAGAGAAATTACATTTCTACCTGAAGAAAGAACGTTTCTTTGGCAACTACAGAGAGCTGCTGGCTTCGGCATGGTGGGTCTTTAGTCCTTTAACAGAGTGGCAGCCCTAAAGATGAGGCCTTGGGCTTCAGAGGCGGATTCGTACAAAAGAACACAATTGGACCAGTTTAGGGGGCTCCTGCAGACTTTTTCTAGGTCCCATCTCTTTCTTCCTCACCAGCCCTTCTCCATTTTCATCTAGACACCCCCACACACTCTGATCTTTGCGCTGGCCTCCCGCGGGGTGACCCCATTTCCAAGCACCCTGGCCTTGCTTCTAACTTCAATCCCCCAGCTCCTAGCTTGCTTCCCTCCTCTTCAGCATAAGCAAGGGCAAGGTCTTTTAAATCACACTTGACATGTACATCTTTATCTTCTCTTTGATCAGAAATAAAAATGGTCTTCTACTTTGTTTATCCAGGGTTTTCTACTCCTTCTCTCTGAAAGAAAGAAAGAAAGAAAGAAAGAAAGAAAGAAAGAAAGAAAGAAAGAAAGAAAGAAAGAAAGAAAGGGAAAAAAGGAAGAAGGAAAGGAAAGGAAAGAAAACACTGTATAACCAATTATTTTCTTGTAATTTTCAGCCACATGTAAATCACCACTCTAAGAAAAACTTTCTTAAACTTAAGAGTTTAACAAAATGTAAGTGGCTGCTTTAAACTTTAGATGAAATTTTATTACTCTGAAAGAAGTATGCAAATTCCAGTAACGACTCGAGAAAAGAAAAATGAAAAAAGCCAGTATTTTTTCAATTATTCCAAAGAAGCTCATATCAAAGTCGCTTTGATTTATAAACTTCAAAGACACGTAGATTCCACTTATTGAAGGGCCAAACAGCAATATTGATAAAACCATCCAGCTATTCTTGAGAACAGATTAACCCTGGATTTTAACTACCCTACAACTTCTTAGCATGAAGTTTGCTCATATTTGTCATCAGTTGGCAATTCCTCTGCTCTCGGATATTATATGCTAACTAATATGAATAGTGCTTTCTTCTGACTTGAACAAAGCATTATGATAGTAGACTACATCTAATTTAATTTGTCTGAACTTTTCCTAACATAACCATATTCTGTTCAATTTGATGAACATATCTAGGTCAGTATAGCTAATATTTTTCAGAAGAAGTCTAAAATTTGCTCGTGGATTTAAACCACTTTCCCTGTATAACTTCTTTTTGCCTTATCCTGCACACCTTCAAGCATAATCCAATGTTTATACTAAATAAAAACGTTCATAGTGTTGCCATTATAAATTTTACCAACATTAATGTTATTGTTCATTAACCCTGTTTTCCTTCTTTGAAGCAGCACGTTTCTCTTTTTGCTACCCAACTAATAATCCAACCTGCTGTTTTACCTACTGGCTTTGATTCCCATGTACCACTTCCCATCTCCATTGTCACTTACACGGTTTGAATTTATTCTCTGATAATCTCCAAAACTGTGCTGGAGCTCCGCAGGCCTCTGTCCTCTGCTCTTCTCTATCTGCACTTAAGTTCCTGATAGATTCATCCAAGCCCATCATTCGAGTCCAAAACTTCTATATCCCCTACAGTTCTGCACTCCAGCCAACCACAGCCACTCTCTGAGTGGATGTCCAGCCACACCCTCAAACTCAAGCAGTCCAATGTATAATATAATGTATATAATGTATAATATAATTATACATTATATTTCTTCTCAAATAGGGCCTCTTTGTGGCCATCCTGTGTCAAATATTGAAGAACCAATACTGAGAGATGTCTTTAATTTTTCCCTGTCTTTCTCTGGCTTTCCGTCTGTCACCTCTTGGGACCACCCTTTCATTTTGTATTCCATTAGTCACTAAATTCACACACTTAAACACCTATGGCTTCTTCCCTGATTTTTGGAGCCAGGTCTCTCCCTTTCAATCCAGTCTGAATACTACTGCCAACCTAACCGTGTGAAAAGGATGCTTTTACTGGGCATTCCCTATTCAAGAACCTTCAATGGCTCCCCATCATTTACTGCACTAAGGAGTCAAATCTGCTGCCTTGTGAAGATTCTCCATAAGCCTGACATGCTGGGGAGACGATCAACCCATTCTCTACTCATCCACGATCTACACTCTCACCTCCATTCGCCTCCCTCCACACTGCAAATTAGTGAAGTTTATTGCTGACCCATTCACGCTTTCCTCCTTTCAGAGCCAGCTTAACTTCTGCCTTTCAGAAAATCTTTTCAGAAAGTCTTCTGAAGAAAGAAGACATGTGGCATTCACGACAGATCCTCCACAAAGAGCGTATAACCAAGGACTGGGTTAATCAGCATAGATTGTCTTCACGAGACAGTGCATTCTGGGCAGACTGTAGAGTTAAACTGTCCACAGAGTAAATAATGTTTCCTAGCTCTACAAACCACTAACACCCAATGATGGCCATTCAAAATAAAGTCTCTGTTTTTGCGTTCATGGCCCACCCTGATCCTAACTATACCAGTCTTCAGAGCTGAGATCTTCACCTACCCCTGCCCCATCCTTCACCTTAGCCATTCAGCTCCAGTATTCCTAGTATCTATCCCCTTTGAAATGAGTCAGCTACTCAAATCAAATCATTAGGAAGAGTCCAACAAAAGAAACCTAATAAAATCTGATTCAAGGAAATAGTAAAGCTGAAAGCATATATGACCAAATTAGTAAAGAGAATCATATTAAAATCGTAAATAAAATCCAAGGGCTGGTTCTTTGAGGGAAAAAATTTTAAAGCAAATCTAAAAAGCTTTAATCCACATGTAAGTAAATATAAGAAGGAGAGATAGACTATAAAAACAGATGAGGAGGCTTTTACAGTTATTTTAATGTGTCGTGTTTAACTCTATTCCAGCTCTTTTCAACCAGTTTCCAGGAAAGAATTAAGCTGTAAGGCATCCAATGCTGATAATAAATTCACTTCTCTTCTTGGCATCTGGAATAGTAGACATTATGTGCCACCTTAGGAGAACTGAACACGGTCATCCAAACCATTCTTTGGAAGCCCCATTCACTGAGATCTCCTTGAAGGGACAATTCTGTGAAAAGCAATATAAGTTACTGAAAATGACTAATGTAGAAGAAACTTAATTAGAAGAAATCATAAAAGATATGGAACAACTTTAAAAATTTACCTCCAAAGTGATCCAGAGCAGCTAGTTTTATGGGTGACTTCTTTCAAATCCTTATGCAATATATGCTTCAGGAAATAGGGAAAAACTGTAAAACACCAAAAATATTTTTAGAAAGCTATATGCTGCCCCAGTGCCAAAATCTGATCAAGGAAAATATTAAAACCGCAGCCTTGTCTCATTTGTAACTTTAAGTTCCAATAATCCTAACAAACAAACCATCCAGTAGACCAAAGTCTATAGCATATTGCAAAGAACATCCAGTAAGCAAAATAGAGTGTATCCTAGAAACACAAATTGAGTTTATTATTCAGAAAACAACTCATCTAATATATTAGTTCAATAGATCCAGTTAGAAAATGAACAATCAGAAATTTAAGTCCGTGTTTTAACCTAAGAAGAGAGTATTTCCTTAACATGAAAAAGAAGGCCATTCTTAAGCTAATAGCCAGAGCCACACTAAATGCGAACTATTTGAGTCATTCAGGTTTAACGTATGAATAAAACGAAGACACATCACGTTACTGTGAACATTTAAAATAGATCTGGAAGTTTTAGTTAATACTTTAAAAATTTGAAATCAAAAAAGGTAAACTGTTAGGATATAGGAGGTAAAATCAGCAGTATTTGCATGTGATACAATTATATACATAAAAACCCAAAGAGAATCAACTGAAAAAGTCATAATTAGTAAAGTTCAGTAAAGCTGACGATATGTATACAAAAGTAGAGAGCTTTCCAAGACATCAGCTAAAATTAGTCAATACTGTTGGGGGACGCCTGGGTGTTTCAGTCGGTTAAGCTTCTGACTTCTGTTCAGGTCCTGATCTCACGGTTCGTGGGTTTGAGCCCCACGTCGGGCTCTGTGTTGACAGCTCAGAGCTTGGAGCCTGTTTCAGATTCTGTGTCTCCTTCTCTTTCTGCCCCATGCATGTGCTGTCTCTCTCTGTCTCAAAAATAAATAAACTATAAAAAATTTTTTAAAAAATACTGTGGGAAAACATTCCAATTCCCATTGTAACAAAACATACAAAATGCCTAAAACTAATCTTATTGAATAACATCTAAGATTATATCAATAAATCTATAATACTTTATATCAATATATATTTTTAATTTTTATAGATAAAAAATAGCATGTTCTTCCCTGGTAAGGAAGATGTCGTTAACAGCATGCCATTCTTTCTAAATTAATTTACAGATTTATTGCAAACTTCAAATTCAAATACCCATGAAATTTTTTAACTTGTCTAAATGATTCCAAGATTCATCTTGAAAAGTGACATGTTGAGACCAGCTTTAAAAAAATGTTAAGAAAAAGAGTAATGAATGAGTACTTGGCTTACTAGGTATAAAAACTTTTATGAAGCTACAATAATTTAGATGGTGTGGTAGTAGCACAGGACTTGACAGATTAATGAAACAGTCAAGATAGCCCTGAAATAGGACTAAAAATATATAAAACCTTAATGAAGAATGATAAATGAAAAATCACATACCATAAAAATGCTGGAAGTAACATTGGTGAATATAAAACTGATTTAAAAGCAATAGAATATATCACCCAGGAAAAGATGCATAGATTTGACTGCATACTTTTTAAAATTTGTATACCACTGAAATAAAGCTTATCCCATGTAACATCAATAATATTTTAAAAGTTAGGAACAAAACTGTATCAGAAAATACTATAACAATGTTTACAAGCAAACTGCACCCTGGGAAAAATATGTGTAACATATATGACAAGTTAAGAACTTTATCGTATAAAAGGGAATTTACATATCAATAAGAAAAATAAGATCACACTATGTATTCATTTCCTGCTGCAGCAACAGACTTCTGCAAACTAAGTGGCTTAAAATAACCCAAATTTATTTTCTTACATTTCTGGAGGTCAGAAGTCCACAGTCAGTTTCACTGGGCTGAAGCCAAGTTATCTTAAGAGCTCATTCTTTCTAGATGCCTTAGAAGAGAACCCCTTCTCCGCCTTTTCTAGCTTCTAGAGGCCACCTGCATTCTTTGTCTCATGGCCCCTGCCCCCACTTCAAAGCCTACAGCTTAGCATCTTCAAGGTTCTCCTTTCTGCTGACCTTTTCTTCCATTATCACACCTGCTTTGACTCTGATCCTTTGCCTCCTACCTGGATAATCCACAATAATCTGCCCATCTCAAGGCTATTAATTTAATCATATCATTAAAAACCCCTTTTTGCCATGTAAGATAACATATTCATCTGTTTTTAGAAATTAGGTTATGGGCATCCTTGGAAGGCCATTATCAATCAGTGTACTACACAACAATAGAAAAATAGATAAAGAAGCAGAGGCAATATACAGATTAAAGGAACAAATAAATGGCCACTAAGCTTGTAAAACACATATGCAATCTCACTAGAATTCTAACAAGTGGAAAATAAAACAACAAGGAGATGCTTCTTTTGCCTAACATACTGACAGATTTTTCTTGTACATGATTCTAGTGCAAGTACAGTTTCTGAACCATTCTAGACAATAATCAAGTGGTATACCGGAGGAGCCTTAAAGTGTTCATGTCATTTAATCCAAGAACTTCATTTATCGAAATTATTTTTAAGGATTTACTTAGGGTAGGTATTTGAAATGTACAATGAGGCTGTTACAGTATTGTAAAAGAGTAATAAATTAGAAACTGTGTCCAACAATAAGGCATGGTTAAATAAATTATGCTAAACTATATGATTGAAGACTATGTAGCCATTAAATTAAATCTTAAAAGATTTTCAATAATATCCTGGATATTCCCACAATATACTCCTGAGAACAAAAACAGAATACAAGACTGCATATATTACAAAATACATGCAAAAGAGGAGGCTGATAATGGTTAACTCAGAGTCATAGATTCTAGGTTATTTTTATTTTCTTTATTATACTTTATTTTAATAATAAATATTATTACTGTTCTAATCATAAAAAAAGATAATTTAAAATTCCAAAGTGAACGATGACAGATGTTAGACATTGAGCCTCAGAATTCTAAGCAGGATGGAAAATAGAGTGTTACACGCCCCCAAAAGGCGGCCCCCACACATCGCTGGAGACCAGCCATGCACATTATTCCTTTCAGAAACAAAGCCAGCCAGCAGCATGTGCAAATCAGAACCTCACAGTTAGGCACTGTTGCCAGTAGAGGAGCGATACAGAACAAGTTCAAGCACAGAAACCCAGACTCTGAGTAGAAACGGGGTTTCGCCCCTGCATCTGGGCCTATAAAGGATTACGGGCATATTGCAGAGTCCCCCAGAGTCAGAGGGAAGAATTAAGCAATATGAGTTTTAATTAGACTCTAACATAGTTAGAAGAAACTAATTGGAATTGCTGAACATTGCATCAGATAGACACATTAGACATAGCACAGTTCACAATGTCCCTTTTTTTCACTTGGCAAAAAAAAATATAAACTTTTGCCATAGGCCCCTAGAAGGAATGCTCATTTCAAAGTGTGAGTTGTGGCTACCTGATGCTAACTTGTCAAGAAGCTCATGGAAAGATAGCTTTATGACAGCAAAGATGTTTTGTTCATTGCTATGTGTCTGGTGCCTAAAACAGTACCTGGCACCCAGTAGGTACTCAATAGGTCATTGTTAAATTACATTTGGAGCAGTAGAATTACTATAAACTTTTATATTCTACCTTTAGGTTAAATGACTTGTCACTTTTACAGAATTAGAAGTCACTAACCAGAGCCAGTATTGGGGAATTAATGTAACACATCCTATACATATCTTATACAAGGATGTTTATTATTTTCAGGGAACTCCTATCTCAGAATCTGGAAAGGAACTTAAACCTCTTCAAATCCGGGCCCTTCCACTCACCAGGAGAGAACAAATAGCTCTCTAGTTGAAGGACATACCTCTGACAGCAGAGCCCAAGCGGAGGGGTCTTTCCACACTGGAAGCAAACATCAGATGCTGCCACCTGAGTGATTTGGCCAGGGGACACGTGTTCCATGGCTCTAACCTCTATTCTCACAAAATATGACCACCCGCCATATTTCCCCACACCGTCTACACCCTGTACCTGCCATTTTTATATTACTAACTCTAAAACTCACTGTGGGGTGACGTCTCTCCAATGAATGGTAGACGTCCTTTTCGAATCAGTTGCCAAGTGATTTTGAAATCGGCTCAAGGAACGTCACATCTGAGGATACCGACTACTGCAAGCCCAATAGACTTCCCACTCCTTGTAATTGTGTTGTTCATCCTTGTAGTTTCCATATTTGACAATTTGCCATTGTCAGCTCATTAAATAAATTACTTATTAAAATAAAAGAGTATCCCTTCAGTAAGTGCCTGGCCTACTGACATCCAGCTGAAGAATGATGCCCATAAGTTTTCAGCTTTGTCTGATTGTAGCAAGTCAGCTTGGTTGAAGCTGCCATCCCCTGAGCAAAGAGTCTGGGGGCACCCAGAAGGGGGACACACAGAACCAAAGCACAGAGTGCATGGCCAGGCCATCTGTGTTTAGCAAAGGAAGATACTTTTACAAACTGGGGGCCAAAATCATATTATGATGCCATTGCAGGCCACTTACTCTTCTCAGTAAAAATCTGTGATTTACGGATTACTTTTTATATTCAATAGGAAGAGTGAGGCATGTACATTGCTCAGGTTGCTCACAGAAGAATGTTGACAGTAGCCCACCAGAGACAGACACAGGGACAGCACCACCATGAATAAACCTCAAGGCAAAAGAGAGACTTGAATTCTCTCACCTCAAAACTTTTTTTCCAGAACTAAAATTGAAACAGTACAGGGTGCCTGGGTGGCTCGGTCAGTTAAGCGTCCGACTTCGGCTCAGGTCATGGTCTCACGGTTTGTAGGTTTGAGCCCCACGTCGGCCTCTGTGCCGACAGCTAGCTCAGAGCCTGGAGCCTGCTTCAGATTCTGTGTCTCCCTCTCTCTTCGATCCTCCCCTGCTCACTCTGTCTCTCTCTCTCTCAGAAATAAATAAAACATTAAAAAATTTTTTAAATAATTGAAGCAGTAAACAATACATGAAAGATGTGACACCCCTGCCCTACTGCCCAGTTAGCCTCCCTTCAGACTTTTACCTGTTGCCCTGGAAAGTGAAGCAGCAGCAAATGTAGATTTCTGTGATTCTGTGCAAATAAAATTGGAGCAGATAAGATCTTAGCTGAGCTGGGAACATGATAAATATTTTCATGGACGGCTGAGGCTCACTAATTGGATACTTTAATGAAACTTGAGCTTTCTCTTTCTAACTTCTAACACCCCTTCAACCCTTAACAACTGGTATGGGCAACTTTTTAAACAAAAGAATTTGTGATCCTGGAGAATCCTTTCTTTTTATTTTCAAGTGAATGACCCAGTGGTAATTGATAATGGCTCCTAATTGAGGAAGGACCACTGTTTTTTCCTGCTGCCTTCAGAATCGCTAATGAAGAGAATTTCTTTCCAGTATTCGTCCCAAGTGAAATTAACATTAATTGAACATTGAGTACTAAGGAAACGCCCACTAGAACTTTCAGGCTTCTCCCCCACCATCCTCACCCTACCAATTCTGCTAACATACTAGGTGGAAAGCTGTCTCTTCCTATTGTACCTAAACAAATCAGTGTACAGGGAAGTGATTTATCATTCATGAAAAGCAATCAGATTGCTTGGGGCTGACAGCTGTTCCCAAAATGCAGCTGAGAAACAGACCTTTGGCAAAGTGTAAAATTTGGAATAAAACCATATTACTGTACTTCAGCTGGCAACAAAAGAGGCTGATAGTGAGCTTAATAAACAAAATACCATGCAGCCCAAAATGTATTAGCTAGTCTACATTTATGGACAAAAAAAGGCCATTTTCCCCATTTTTCTAAGTTACTTTCAATCACACAAAACACCTAATAAAAATAAAATATTCTTTTTAGGATTTTTTTTTAGGATGTAGACACGTTTTTGGTAAAGACTATTTTTTTTCACACAATTCATTATGGGAAATGAACCAGAAAAAAATGCTGAAACATGTACAGAGGTTAAAGAGGGATGCCGCTTTTACTAGAAAAGGAAGAATTCCAGTATACTCCGGCCTCTAGGCCATAATTCATTTTATTTCCCATGTCGAGAATGCTTTCCCATACCTCTCTGCTTGTCGAAGATCTAACTGTCCTTTCAAACAAAATTCTCATCAAACCTCCAAGATGCTATAATTCTTATATGATTTTTCCTGACTGTTCGGACCCTTGGTGGTCTCACCTGCCCTTGAACTCTTGTAACATTTCTTTCAGCTGCCCCCCTCTCTTCTCTCCTTCCTGTGTCACGTCCCCTCATCCCCTCTAGTTTTTTTCTTTCCTAGCTCCACCTCCCATTCAACTGCATTGAAGCCCTTGCCCTATCTAAAGCAAACTGTTCATTTTATATATCCGTGTCTTTCTAAACACAAATTCCTGGCAATTAAATGTCTTTGCCCCCTTCATGCTGGCCAATCATATTCAGTCTTTGAGATCTACTCAAATGTCCATTTCCTCCTCTTTAATAAACATTGAATGAGGGGCTCCTGGGTGGCTCACAGTTAAGCATCCGACTTCAGCTCAGATCATAATCTCACTGTTCGTGGGCTCCCAAATCGGGTTCTGTGCTGACGGCTCAGAGCCTAGAGCCTGCTTCAGATTCTGTGTCTCCTTCTTTCTCTGCCTCTCCCCTGTTCGCATTCTGTCTCTCTCTCTCTCAAAAATAAATAAAACATTAAAAAAATGTTTTTAAATAAACATTGAATGAGAGCCTATGATGATTCTTGCTCTAAACTAGTAAGTCGCTAAGGGTAAAGACATGAAAAAAAATAATAACCTCCATCCTAAAGACAAAATCTTGGTATTAAAAACCCAAATCCCTAACCTCTTCTAAAAGTTACTGTGTTCTGTGACCCCTGATGTCACTCATCCCTTATGTCCTTGGTCTCCAGCCACATCAGCGTTCTCTCAGTTTCTCAAACTTCCCATGCTCTTTCCAAACTCAGGACTTTACACATCCCATTTCCACCTGTCATGCACTCATCTCTGACCAGCTAACCCCTGTCCTGTTTTATGACTCAGCCCTCATGTCCCTTTCTCAGGGACATCTTCAAGTTTGTTGAAAGGCCTGATGCTCCTATTAAATGCTCTTAGAGCACTATATGTCTTCTGCAAAACCATGATAGCAGTCCAAGTTTTACCATTGTTTTGTTTCTTTGTTTAATGCTTGCTTCTTCCATAAGGCTATAAGTTGTATTTAGTACAAATATTGTGTCGTTTTACCAGTAAATTCTCAGGAATTATAACAGTGTCTGTACATGTTAATATTCAATAGGTGTTTCTGGAATAAATGACAAAACAATGGAAGTGTGAAATAACAAAATCCAGTTGGTAAGTAATCAAAGGAAGCCCTTAATCATGCAGTAGAATGCATGATGGAGGGAGTGCTCATGATACGGGTCCCCTTGAAAAGGGTCGGAAAGAGGAGCAGGCCATTGACCATTTTCATGAAAATAATTTCTTCTTCTTTTTTTAAAAAAATTTTAATGTTTATTTCTGAGAGAGCGAGACAGAGCATGAGCAGGGGAAGGGCAGAGGGAGAGGGAGACACAGAATTCAAAGCTGGCTCCGGACTCTGAGCTGGAACTTGTGAAGTGGGAGATCATGACCTGAGCCGAAGTCAGACACCCAACCGACTGAGTCACCCAGGCGCCCCTGAAAACGATTTCTTCTGACCATCAGACAGTGAAGTCAGAGTGAAATCAAGGGGTGAATGGCAAGTGAAGCAGTCCACACAGTAAGTGCAGAATCTCTTTTCAAGAAGTTTAGTTGTAGGCTGGCTAGATGAAAGAACTAGAATGAAGAGGATGATAGATTTTTAATACGAGATTAAAAAATATGTATGTGCTGATAAAAAAGAGTTAGATGAAAAGATTGGAAAATGGGAAATCTAGGCTCCTAAAGACGTGGAGCGGATAGGATTTGGAATAGAGGCAAGAAGAACATCCTTAGTAGGAACAAGGACTTCTTTGTTATTAGGGGAGAGGGATGTTAAAAGGTGTAAGAATGCAGCATTCGTTCCACAAATACCTATTGAGCACGCACAGGTAAGGGGAACAAAGTATGTCTGGGGAGGAGGTGGAAAGGGAGTCTAGACAGGGTAACCGTTATTGAGGGGACAAACAAACAAAGACATTAAAATGACCAGAAACTGATGATCTGGCATATAAATGGTTTCTAAACTTTCTTTGGGAGGCAAAGAAAGTTATCTGCTGACAGAGGAGCTTAGGCTGGGTTGAGAAGAATAGTAAAATTTGGCATCAGCTGCTACCGGGAATAGAAGAGGGAGCCTATGTGGGATCTCACAGCCCTGAATATTGGAGAACAGAGTTGGAAGTCCATGCACCTTCCCTGGCCCCATTCCTGTCCCATGTTCCAATCCTAAGAGGTCGTAAGGCAAGAAGGTAAAGTGATCCCAATAGACATTAAAATCCCAAGAAATTGGTGAAAGGATTATCCCTGTGAGTGATACCCAAAATGGAACAGATGAACTTAGTAAAATGGGGAAAACCTTCTTCCACAAAATCTCCCTAAGAACTAGTCACTCCCTCTTGTGCCTCCATAGCAAGGTCCACATACCTTCAATTGCAATGTTAATTACATTGCACTAGGGTATATTAATGTGTAAGAACATCTTACTTTGCTTTGGATCTACACCACGGCTTTGCCCGACGCCTGATCAAGAGAAGGCACCTAGGGTGCATTCATTGATTTAAATGACTAATTACATAATATATATCCATGTTTCGCTACCTTTTATAATTAATTATCTTCTCATGGATAGGATCTGTTTTCTTTAGTTTATCATGTAGGTTAAAAGCAGGAATCATGCCTGTACTTTTTTGTTTACCTAGGAGTGTGCCCTAGAAACAGAAGTAAGTCAATAATTTTTTGTTATTGCTGTTGAAGGGGAAAAAAATGATTAAGATGGTAAAGCAAGGTCAATTTCTAGATTTCTCTCTCCCTGAAGCAATCATAAAGTTGTAGTTGAGTAATTGTAAAATTTTGAGACTAGAGCAGAAAAACTGATGTGATCAGAAGAACTGTAGTGACAAGTGTTGAAAAGATGGCTCCTTGTGTCTCCAACATCACCAAGTACTTTTAGGAAATTATTTTCCAGGATAAAACCATCCCCAGGGTTAAGAAGAATATTTTACAAAATTATCACAGCTTGATGGAGCTACTCTTCAGAACACTGATTCTCCAGTCATGGTATCAGGACCCTCAGGAGAACTGAAGGTGATTCTGTAGATATAAGGAGCCCCGGGTAAGCATGGTGCTTCTAAATAGGACTAAATGTCAAATTAGAACATATTTTTGAAATTGAAAGAATTCCAAGTCTGCTATGAGATAAAATGTAAATTTTGAGTGAATTTTAAAGACAAATATGAACCTAATTTGGGTTCTTCTCCTAGACCCAGTATGTGATAGTAGGATCAGAATTGGAGTGGTAGGAGGTGATATTCACATTCCTTAGCTATTCTAGCATTCAACCAGGTGAATTTAGGAAGTACTGCGTACTGTTACCAGCTTCTTGCTGATTTCATTAAACATCAAGGAACTTTTTTCTTTTTTCTTTTTTTACATTTATTTATTATTGAGAGACAGAGCACGAACAAGGTAGGGAAAGAGAGAGGAGGAGACACAGAATCTGAAGCAGGCTCCAGGCTCTGAGCTAGCTGTCAGCACAGAGCCCCATGCAGGGCCCCAACCCGCCAACCGCGAAATCATGACCTGAGCCAAAGTCGGTCGCTCAACTGACTGAGCCACCCAGGTGCCCCAAAACTTCTTAAATCACTTGAA